CCAGAAAATTATACATGTAGTTTCAGACGCAAGTGGAAAGATGTAAAATATCTGACTGTGCACTTAAACAGGCTAAAAGTATATTTTCAGAAATAGAAATGGAATCAAGTAGGACATGTAAAACTGTACCAAATATTGTTGATGGTGCTGAGAATGCAGATAAAACACCTGCCAAAGGATATGTTGGTTTTCAGACTGCGAGTGGAAAAGGTGTGACAATATCAGAGAAGGCTTTTAAAAAAGCTAAAAGTATATTTTCTGAAATGGAAATGAAAGAAACTACAAGTAAGACATATGAAACTGTGCCAGATATGATAATGTATGGGGCTGCAAATGGAAATAGGCAAAGCTGTGTTGCTACAAATTTATTGACTGACTCTGAAAATACAGAAATGATGCCTGCCAGTGAAGGATTTGTTGGTTTTCAGACTGCAAGTGGAAAGGGTGTGAAAATATCTGAATCTGCAATTAAAAGAGCTAGAAGTATATTTTCAGAAGTAGAAATGGAAGAAAAGTCAAATAGCATTAAAAAGACATTTCAAGATGGTATGAATACTACAGATGGAAGTGGACAAAGAAATCGCCAAAGCTGCATGAATGATGAACTAACTAAAAATCTTGTTGGCCATTCAGTTGATGAAATGCTACCATTCACTGGTTTCAAAACAGCTGGTGGAAAACAAGTTAACATCTGTGAAAAATCACTGCAAAGAGCTGCAAAGTTTTTAGCTGATTCTGAGAATACAGAAAAAATACCTGTTGGAGAATTTGTTGGTTTTCAGACTGCAAGTGGAAAAGATGTAAAAATATCTGAGAAGGCTCTTAAAAAAGCTAAAATTATATTTTCAGAAGTAGAAATGGAAGAAACTGTAAGTGAGACATGTGAAACTGTACCCGATTTATATATGGATGGAGCTGCAAATGGAAACAGTCAAACCTGTGTTGATGTTGAAAATATGGAGCATCACAGTGGAATGAGCAAGCAAAATGGTAACAGTTTAAGACCTAAAAATCCTTCCCAAACATATAAAGTTTTGCGTGATGGCAATTTCACAGATGATAATGTTGAAACCGGGGTCGTGGAGCTTGGATCTTTTTCAGGATTTCAAACAGCTGGTGGAAAAACAGTTGAAATATCTGATAAAGCTATTTTCAAAGCAAGGAACTTTCTTGCCGATGACAGTAGCTCATACAGAGATGACCTGCCTCGCGTTTCGTCAGGATTTCAAACTGCTAAGGGAGATAAAGTAACAATATCTGAAAGTTCTGTTTTAAAAGCACAAATGTTACTAGCTGGAGAACAAAGTTTGGATTTGATAAGCCAATCTAATACGTCAAAAGTCACAAGCACTGAAATGATGGTCAATAGATTAACTGAGATATCTGCTGATAAGACTGTTCCTTTGAAAGGAACAATAAATCCCACCAAGAGAAGGAAAACTGATGATTCTAACATGCTTTGTAAGCCTAGGGTAGCTCAGAAGCATGGACCAAACATGGCTGGTACTGTGGAGAGTGCTTGTATGTCTACTGGAAACATTGAAGTTAGTAATGTGGTGGCAAGGAGCAGCAGAATAAATGGAAACACAGTGAAAAATCCCTCTATTGGTAAGTTCTGATTGAATTTTGATTGTCATCTACCAGTATTGCAGACTAGGATGGCAGTCGTCTGATTTCACCTTCATAGTACATGTAGCAGTAATTTTGTCATGTTTGTGTATGGTAAAAGAAATACTTGAAATCATGGTACTAACAGTAGGCTTGCAAAAAATATGTAGCCAGGTACATATAGGGAAGTGTTTGTCAAGGTGGGGGATGTGTTGAGTGATTATTATGGTACAAAATGGATATTATAAACATAGGGGGATGGAGAGTAGAGACAACCTACAAGTATATAAACTTTGTATGTAACCATAAATATATACACATTAAATACAGTGCATACAAGTGCCTCCATTTCTTCTTTTGTCAGTTTTTCAATGTAAATGTTAACCTTAGTTTAATAATCATATATATCATTTTTATATTCAATAGGACTATGTGAAGACACTTCTGGTGTTAAAGTTGACTGCAGAGGAAGAATCACCCCAGTATCTACTACTCCAACAGGTATGTCCATGTAACGTCCACTTCAAATTAATCAATAACCAATGTTCAACTTTTATTTTACTTTAAGTGTGGATTACTGGTAACAACTGTTGTTCTGGGCTCATGAATGATTGGTCAAGCAGGGGATTGAAATTGGTTGTTCCAGACTTTTTTGTCATGGGACAACCAGATATAAAATTCGGGCTAACCATGAGAAGAAATTACAGAATTTAGTATTATCATTGTAGCTATATTTTGTTGAAAAAAAAAATTGAATTTATTGTTTGGAAAGCCAGATGCTAACATAACTGTGAAAGATGTTATACATGTGTAGTTGCTAAAAATGATTCTGGTTTTATTTGATAAAAAGTGGCCAAAAAGCTATGTTAAAAAAAACACATTGTTTCTTGTGAACAATCTGAATGGTTTTCTCACTGGACAACCCGGTTTTCTTTTTATTTTGACTCCAGACAAGAGTTCAAAACCCTACCTGCATGTTTAGATAAATAAGATATATTTTAGTAGTGCCCTTCAAATTGTGTTTCATTTTCTCTCTGTCATCTTGTCCACCGTTTCACATACTATGTGTACATAGATCAGGGAAATTGAATGCACTGGGAGAAATTATCGCTATTTGAGGGGCAGAAACACTCTTTTTCTCACTCTGAATATATTGAAGTGGATTACAGTAGTTTGGAATGGTGTATCTTGCATTTATTAGTTATAAATCCAATAATTATTAACTAATTCGATAATAGAATACTTTTACTGCAAATTTTACACATTCATTTTCTCCATTGTTTTTAGGTTTTACCAAAGATAGACATCAGAAGTTCAGTGTGCCATTGAGACCAATCGTTTCTACCCCCAAAAATGGTATAAAGTCTAATGTGAACTCCATAAATTCTCAGTATAGTCCACATGGGCTGTTTAATTATAGAAGCAGCACTGACAAATCTACTGCCTCTACAGTGTCTAATCAGAATAAAAACTGTAGTGGAAGGTCAAGTTTCAAGACTCCCTTTCGCAAAAGAGTTATAAGTGTTGACTCAGAGTCAGGAACGAAGACAGTAAATGAAAAATCAACTCCCAATATTGCTGTGTTACCAAGTCAAACGATACAACCTTCTATTAATTTCAAGGAATCTAACAGAAAACAACAGTGTTCATCATGGACATCAAGGGCTATCACGGCAAAGCAGACATATCAGGTCAGTAATCTCTTTTCCTCTATCAAATATTGGAATACCATTGCTCGTCTGACAATGTGTGATAGTCTTCACACTGTTTTCTTTTCTATAGAAATTTGCCAAATGTTACAAAATAATGACTAGCTTTATATATTTGATCAAAGACACACATATACATTTTCTGACTAGGTTTACTAGTGACAAGCAACAACACATTGCTTAAGTGGAAGTTTTGAGATTAGCTGCTGCCATGCTATTGGCTAGAATACAAATTTGAATGATGTGGTGGAAGACCATGGAAATATAAATTGCTTTCTTTAGATACTAGCTTAGAGCTTAGTAGCCTTGTTTCACATTTCTAATCTCCCAGTTCCAATGAAGTTTTTGTGAACCATTTAGTTTTTGCTGCCAGAATTTTTCATGATTTCATGATTTTTCATGAGGATTTTATGGCATTCGTGAAAATGCTGCAAAAATTTAGTTACTGAAACTTTGTTTCCTATGACCCTAGAGAATTTGTCACTGCTTGCTTGTAAAATATGGTATTTGTCTCATGAAATTAAAGCTGTTTACCGTATTCATGAAGACAGGATTCTTGTAATCTTATCAATTGATGTTTACCGTATTCATGAAGACAGGATTCTTGTAATCTTATCAATTGATCTTTAAAATCCAAGTGATTGGTGTGTGAAGTCCAGGAGTGGGCAAGGTGGTAACATTTTAGCGGTAAATATAGCATAAATTTGTGATTCCTAATAGGATTGGATACCCTGCTTGGTATTGCAAAATTATGGCAAGCTGTAAAACTTGCGACAATAGATTGAGTGATAACTTTTTTTATTTTTTATTAAAGGCCGCTAAAATCAAACCTGCTATGGGCAGTCTGTATACTAAGAGATGCAACCAACCAAGACTGAAGTTACATGATGTTGTTGGCTCACAACCACCACAACAACATACACCAGATGAGGTAAATTTACGATTCATTCAGGCTGCTGACTAAAAATTATGTCTGTTTAGTTGTGGATGCACAGAGTAGTAGTCTCAAACATGGACCAGAACCGGAAACAAGCAGGAGGCAAATAGGATACAACAAACAAGTATTGTGTGATCTTGCTTGTGATTAGTACTGCCAATGTTTGGGAACAGTGTCATAACTCAATCTTTGGGAATATTTTGTTATACATGTTGACTGGCATGAATGGCCAATGATGGTAAATTTTCTATTTTTGGCATTATAGCCATTTAAACTTTGAAGGCTAACAGGTATCTGTTAAACTAAATCGTAATTTCTATACTGCAACGATTTTAACATAATGCATTTATGAAAATATTACACACATTATACGATTACTTATCGCATTTTAGCGTCAGACTATGATGATTGCTTGCTTGCATTATTGCATTTGAAAAAAAATTTGTTGCATTTAACCCTGCATAAGTTATAATACATGAATGGTAAGATTATAGTCACATTTTAACATCTGACTTGGTCCAGGATTCTTGTATTTTTTGCTTTATATCATCTTATCATAGGATACCATGTTAAAATGCATGTCATTAGATGCTAAAGTGACATGTAATTCTATCATGTGCACATTATATTTCTACTATTAAATTCAACCAATTTCCTAAAATGCACTATAATGCGAGCCATGTTAATTAGGGATCCTATGATAAAAGAGTCAATAATGTGAAAAATACAAGCCTCTTGCACCAAGTCATGCTAAAATCCAACATGTATTCCCATGTATTCACGCTATAATGCAACTTGCTACTGCATTTCAGCTGTTTTAAACTGCTATAAGTAAGGGCTATAATGCACATGTATATAACCCATGTTGCATAATGGCGCATTATAGCTGCAACTTATGCTAAAATGCATCTTAGGCCATACCAATAATATTTAAATTTTGCAAAAAATTGTAATGAATTTATTATCTATAGTCATGACGTCAGAACAGATACTGGGTATAAAGGGGTTTAATTATAAAATTAGAATAGCTATATTGAGTAAAAAAAGCATAATGCTAATGCTTAATGTTACTAACTTGTTTTTGACAAAACTTTCCATTTTCTAAATTATTTTAGAAATCTATGTCAACTCTTTCTTTTCATTATTGTTTGCCCCATAGTTACACTCCTTTGGAATACACCCCAGTGTGCTGGATATTAGAAGCAGTAATGCAGAAAATTACAGATTCAATTGTGCTAATCATTACAGTACAAGTATTTGCTCAAATCAAGATGGTATTCAATTAAGTGATGGAGGTATTTTGGTCCCTGATGAGAAAGGAACTGCTGGAAAGGACAATTTTGTAAAGTGAGTTTCTAGAATGAGTATGCAGTGTTTCCCACATACATGAACTTCTGCTCATAGTCATTCAGCTAAACAATAATGTATGTGTTCTGTCAGTATCGTATGTACTTAGTACATAAATGACAGAGGAGGGCTTATGGGCAATATAAGTCATACAATAAATGATGTTTTTTGGTTTATGTGGTTATATATTACATAATATGAGGAGCGTTCAATAAGTAATGCTCCTGCCCCATTTCCCATAGCAGGACATTAATGAAACTTGGCACAGTTACAATGTATTAGTCTTTCTCTACATAGGAACCACCCAGAGTTATGCATTTCTCCCATCACTTGATGCAGCTCTGGACATCGTTTTTGTAGAACACCCCAGGTTGGTCCTCCAACCACATCGTAACTTCAGAAATCAAGGCTGCATCATCTGGGAAACACTTTCCTTTCAAAAACAATTTCATGGCTGGGAAGAGATGAAAGTTAGAGGGTGCAAGGTCAGGAGAGTAAGGGGGATGGGAGAGGATTTCATAGCCACACGCCCGTGCTTCTGATCTGGTGACATGCGAGTTGTGGACCGGAGTGTTGTCCTGCAGGAGGAGGAGGATATCTTTGCTGATCTTGACCGGCATCTTGATTTTGATAGCTTCTCTTAATTTCATCAAAAGTGAAGCGTAATACGCTCCTGTAATTGTGGTACCCTTTGCCAGGAAAACTGTCATCACTACTCCTTCCTGGTCCCAGAAGACTGTTAGTATGACCTTGCCAGCGGAGGGCTGCACCCTTGCCTTCTTTGGAGGTGGTGAGTCCAAGTGCTTCCACTGCATTGACTAGGCTTCGGTCTCTGGATCATAGTGATGATCCTGTGTATCAGTCTTTTGAAAAAACTTAGACTCATCTTCTTAGTACATCTCCAAATTCATCCTCGAGCACTCAACGCGTTCTTGCTTCTGGAAAGGTGTGAGCAACCTGGGAATCCATCTGGCAGACACCTTATGCATATGCAAATGGTCATGAATGATAGTTTCCACAGACCCTGTACTAATCTTGATCTCTTGGGCTATTCGGCGAACAGTAATGTGTCGATCTTCCAAAATGGCTGCCTCAACTTGACGGACAGATGCCTCATCAATGGCAGAAGAGGGACAACCAGGTCTGGGAGCTGTTTCCACAGACTTTCTGCCATGTTTGAATTCACGATGCCAGTGTTTTACAAGGTCATATGATGGGGCATCATCACCATATTTAGTTTCTTTCATTTCATCAAAAGTCTCCTTTGGTGTCGTCCTTTCAAATACAAAAATCGGATCACTGCATAACACTCAACTGACTCAGTTCAAACACCTGTAAATCAGAAACCACAATTTGTTCAGAGCTGTTTTTGCAACATAACCCATAGAGATGAAAATCATTACACATGCAAAATTTCATCTAGATCAGACAACTGGAAGTGGGTCAGGGGCATTACTTATTGAACGCCCCTCATATATATGGTAACTATAATTGGAATAAATTATGCTCTCTTGACTGTATCAGTCCTTACAAACATACAGCCAACATAACACAGATCTTTACACAGGCTTTAGTGGAGTGCGTACATGGTATAAAAATGCAGGGCTTAAAGTCATCATTTTTACATTATGTTTTGTTGAAAAATGTCATTACAACCTAAGTTTTTACACATGTGTTGAAGCAAACAGTTTTAATCACCCTATATGACAATTTATTGCTGTATAAAAAAGATGCATGTTTCCAATAACCATGCATATGTACCCTATCACAAATTGGTTGTCTACCCTAAACTTTTTTTGCCCAAACATGAAAAATTATTATATAATAAGTTTTCAATACTTGAAAAGACTTTACTTGATGATGACATGAATAGAATTTTGACAAAAGTTAGATGCATTAATGATCATAAATACTGCATACAATTGTTTGATATACAAATTTATGTCACCTCTGATGAAACCACCAATCTTGCCAAGAAAGACGCTGCAGTATCGAATTACAATGTGACTGTCAACATGGTTGCCATTACGTTTTTAGTCCCCGTTTGGACGCAGCCCAAAAACTAGGACTTATGTTTTGACCTCTGTGTGTTCGTGTGTGCATCTGGACCTGTATCTTAGAAATGCCTGGACCAATCACAATCAAACTTCACACATACATCATACATGATATTATACATATGCACGTCAATTTGTTTCACGATCTGATTCAAGATGGCCGAATGGTGGCCATTTTTGTGCTGAAAATCAAGTATTTTGTTCAAAATTGGTACATACGTTAGACATTATAGGACCTTAATGAACATCATTTTGTTTTTCAGATAAGATTCAAAATAGCCGACTGGCAGCCATTTTGTTTTAGTGAATGTGGTTCTAGTGCCATATCTCTGACTTTGACTGATTATGTTCAAATTTTAAATATTTATTATAGATTATGTCATAGATATACAGATATATTGGTTTGACAATTCTATCAATAATGGCCGAATGGTGGCCATTTTTGTGCTAAAAAATCATCAAAATCAAGCATTTCCTAGCTGTTTACAGATGGATTTTGTTCAAACCTTGTATATACGTTGGACATTACAGGACCTTGATGCACATTATTTTGTTTTACGATCTGATTCAAGATGGCCGAATGGCGGCCATTTTTGTGCTAAAAATTCATAAAAATCAAGCATTTCTCGGCTGTTTACTGATGGGTTTTGTTCAAACTTGGTATATACATTAGACATTATGGGACCTTGATGCAAATAATTTTGTTTTTCAGATAAGAGTAAAAATGGCCGACTGGTGGCCATTTTGTTTTAATGAATGTGGTTCTTGTGCCTTATTTCTGACTTTCTTTCACTGATTATGTTCAAATTTTAAATATTTATTATACATCATGTCATAGATAGACAGATATATTGGTTTGACGATCCTATTCAAAATGGCCGATTGGTGGCCATTTTTGTGCTAAAAAATCATCAAATATCAAGCATTTCTGGCATTTATGGATGGATTTCGTTCAAACTTGGTACATATATTAGACATTGCGGGTTCTTGATGCACATCATTTATTTTTCAGATCGGATTCGAAATGGCTGTCTGGCGGCCATTTTGTTTTAATGAATGGGCTTTTAAACCCATATCTCCGACTTGTTTTGACTGATTATGTTCAAATTTTAAATATTCATTATACATCATGTCATAGATAGACAGATATATTGGTTTGACGATCCTATTCAAAATGGCTGAATGGTGGTCATTTTTGTGCTAAAAAATCATCAAATATCAAGCATTTCTGGCATTTGTGGATGGATTTCGTTCAAACTTGGTACATACATT